TGGAGGTCTTATGGTCCTTAATAGTGGGGTACGTATTTAGGGTATATTAGAGGGTAGTTGGGGGGTCTATTTACACTATACCTTTTAGAACCAGAGCTTGGACCGTGTTTCTTGTCTTGTAAATGGGTAGTTCTTTAAACTAGGGTTCCTTTTTAGGTCCCCAGTATAGTACGGCACCCTTATGAAAAGGACCCTAAAAGTGATCCTAGTTTGGAGAACCACCCAAATGCGAAACACGGTTAGACCCGGTGCAGGTTTTGAGGCTGCAGATCTTGTGAAAAAAAGGCTCGGGTGGTGATCCTAAAACTTTCGTCTAAACCGTAAACCATGAAGCGGTCAAAACAGAGCATCCAGACATTGCCAACCGAAAGATGCACGAATTCTCCTGATAATCTCCTCCTGAAGAACACACCTGTGCCCTCGCATATCCGAAAAGACCGTGGAAGGGGGGATGGTGGGGACCTTGCCCCGCAAATCGAAACCCTTCAATTTGTGAATCAAAACAACTCCTCCCCTAAACCGAAGAAACAAATTCAAACAGCTCCACTTCAGCAAAAAAGCAGCCGGTTTGACTCGATCGTTATTGTGAGGGTCATAATAGCCATCCAATAGGGTCCATCTATACTACTATTATGGATTTAGATCCAGGGATGGTCTTTTGCGACCTAAGTCCATGGCGGTAGTGGGATGGCCCCTCTGAGCACTGAAGCCCCCTAAACCCTAAACCCTAAACCCAAAACCCTAAACCCTCAACCCTAAGCCTCTGAGCTCCGGGCATGGCACACGAAGAGGGTGTCGCGCTGCAGGTTGTAGAGGTAAAGGAAAAGGCGATCTGGGGACACCTAAGCTGGGCTCTGGTTAAGGGTTTATAAGTTAAGTTGCCATAACCAAGAAGCCATGTCAAGGGATTCAAGTTAAGTTGCCATAACCAAGAAATCATTTTATTTACTATAGATCCCTATTTTGGTAACTTACATTAAATTCCCTAACAAGAGCCCAGTACGGCAGTTATTTACTGCAGATACCTACTACGGTAGCTTAAACTAAATTCCTTAACAAGAAGTAAGGCAGTCTTGATCAGCCTTAGGGTTTGGATCCAGCACTTCGGATTTTGAGGCTTGAGGCTCACCGTAAAGCCTGAACTCTACACTCCCCGACCCGATCTGTCTGCCGCTTCTGAAACTCTATACTCCTAAACCCTAAACCCTA